CAGAGACACGGGTACTCTAACCCGCACCGTCACAGAGACACGGGTACGTCACAGAGACACGGGTACACTAACCCGCACCGTCACAGAGACACAGGTATGCTCACCTGCACTATTGCAGAGACACAGGTACGGTAACATGTACAAATCACCCCCACACACAGGAACTGTTCACCTGTAACATCTTAGGCACACACAGGGATTGTTCACCTGGAACATCACATGTTTTGGTTTGTTTGACTAGTATGAAAAAGGATACCCATTAAAAATATTCATTTCGAGTGCAGAACATTAGCAACATTGGTCATGGCAAATATCTGATGATGAACAGTACTTGCAGAGTATCAATTAGTCACACTCTAAAACATTTTTGTCATTTACAGAAATATTAAAATTTGTTACTCACGGAGACTTAATTTCCTGTAGATCTGTGAGTCCAGTGCCTTCCACACTGAAGATGCCTTCGGTTAATGTGATGGGAAGTGGATTTGCAAACTTTATTTGGACAGTTAACTCTCTATGCACAATTGGTTCACCGATTACCTGGAGCCAAGCAAGACTGTTTCAGACATTCTCATCCATTTCATTTGAATATAATCTTTTTTATCAATGTCTAATTTTTAACATTTTATTAGGAGCTCTTAAAACCAATTAATTCCTGGATTTCTTTGTATATAATCAAATTGATAAAAGTGGACCCTTACACAAATCTGTGGAAAAAAATCTTGTTTGGCATTGTTTTTCTGCTCAAAAATCAGGTTCTCATCTGCTTTGCATCCATAATGTCAGGGCGTACATTAAAGGTCATTGATAACGATTGCATCTATGTTACAAGGTCGTTCAGTTGTAATGTCACTGGGCTAGTAAGCCAAAGAGCCAGGTTAATGTCCTGGGAATTAAACCAAAAGTGCTGGAGAAACTCAGCAAGTCTGACAGTGTCCGTGGAGAAAGAAACAGAGTTCACGTTCTGAGCCCAATATGACCCTTGTTCAGAACTCCCTACGGGCATAAGTTCAAATTCCATCACAGCAACTTGTGGTATTTAAATTCAGATTATAAAAATCCAGAATTAAGTAATGGTAACCATGAAACTATCATTGATTCAAAACCCATCTGCTTCATTCATGTCCTTTAGGGAGGATGTCTGGCATTACTATCTGTACATGACTGCAGACCTACAGCAATGTGAGTGACTCTTAACAATCCCCACCAACACCTTGGAAATAGCCAAGCAAACTATTCAGTTTTAGCAACAAATGCTGGCCTAACAGAGACACCCATGTCCCATGAAATAGTAAGAAGAAATAGATACATTTTGTACAGTGATAATATCCTGTTCAAAACAGATACAGAAAAATATATTTTAACATCAATTATGTCCCAGTCAGTTGAGAGTTTAAAGATATTCATACCTGTTCGTGCAGTGGTGGAGATGTGCTACTTTAAATACCAAACCTGGCTGTCGACATTTTGTAATACAATCCATCTATAAATACTATAAATCCATTTTACTGCTAAAATAGGTTGTCAATATTTTAAGGGTCATGTAACTGCCTGGAGCCCCACACACATAGGGCTAATGCAATGTGTAAGTAACTGCTTGGCATTTAGCCTACTGTGTCTTGCCTTGAGGTTTTGTTAAGTTCTAATTCATACTGACAATTTTATACGAGGTTACGGAGGTACTTTTGCTCCTGGATTGTCTTCAACATATTAAATGCAAAAACCTGGAAAAAATCTTGAAAAACCTAGGGTGTTAAAATCAACAATGACGCTGTACTCAAAAATCCTTTCATTGAAAGGGTCTGACGTTACTCTTATGGTAAGGAAAGATCACAGGCTCATTTTAATAATCTGCTGACAAAGTTGCAGGACCAAGCAACTTTGAAACCTGCAATTCCTGAGGTTATTGTTTCATCATTGTTAGAAAAAAAGCTTATAATAGGATAATTAGCTACTTACCACTTCTCAAGTCATCTATGACCACTTAACTGCAATTAATACATCTCCCAGTGTTAGCTCTGTCATGTACAGCACAACGTTTGTGACAAATGTTCCATGGTATTTATCTGACCCCGACTCAGCCAGCAGATACTGTATGTGTTTTTAACATAACCTTAAAAGCACAGAATCTAGGTTTTTAGAAAAACCAATATGTAACATCATCCTCTGTCAGTATCATCAGCACTTGTTTCTCATTTGTAATACTCTTGATATTTGATTTATTATCACAGCCTAGCAACACATAACCATAGCTGGTGGTTTTCTATAACTTATTTCTTACTAACTTCAATTCAAAGGTAAAACTGATGCTGATGCTTCTTTATATTAAACGCATCAGTCTCTAATGTGTTTTCCTTAGCTTTGAACTCTCAACCAGATAACAGTTCTGTTTAAAATAACTATTGTTTAATGTTTTCTGATTCAACTGTAGATAAAACCATTTTCTTACTCTTCGAATCTTCTGTGTGTGTACAAGTGGAAAAAGAAATAAAATAAATGAAAAGAAAGTGCAGTAGAACAGGGTGCTCAAGAGTAGTGATATCACTCTGCTCTGATTCTGCAAAGCTACTCAGATAGAGGCAGGAGAGGATTCCACTAGTTAAAACAAACCTGGATCTGTACACACACACAAGAAGAATCATATCAATGAATCAAAGTGAAAACTATGTCCTCCGCTGGGTTTAAACATCATCAATCACACCTCCAACCCAAAGTTCACTTCAAAGATACTATAAGCCTGTTTATCTCAACAACTCTGAGGACTCTCGTGTTTACCTTCACCGTGAGCCGAGGCAGATTCAGGGCAATGTCGCACTCCTTAAGACTCACTTCAGATGTGCCTTTAGGTATTAGCATGGCCGTCATTCGAATTAAGTTGTGCTCAGAGAGATGTTCACCATAGTCTCTGTATTTCAGTCTCAAAACTTCTTTCTGAACTACCAAAAGCAAAGATAAATAACTGGTTAGTTCCATAGAACGACTCCTGCATTCCTTTGAGGCAAACGATCATAAGACCATGAGATACTGAGCAGAATTAGGCCATTTGGCCCATCGAGCCTGCTCCACCATTCGGTCATGGATGACATGTTTCTCAACCCCATTCTCCTGCTTTCTCTCTGTAACCCTTGATTCCCTTACTAATTAAGAACTTATCTATCTTGGTCTGAAATACACTGAATGTCTTGGCCCCCTGCACCACTCTGCGGCAATGAGTTCAACAGATTAACCACCCTCTGGCTGAAGAAATTCCTCCTCATCTCAGTTCTAAAGGGTCGTCCCTTCACTCTGAGGCTGTGCCCTCAGGTCCTAGTATCTCCAGCTGGTGGAAACATCTTCTCCATGTCCACTCTCTTCAGGCCTCTCAGTATTCTGTAAGTTTCAATCAGATCCCCCCTCATCCTACTAAACTCATTGAGCACAGACCCAGAGTCCCCAGTCGCTCCTCATATGGAAAACCCTTTATCCTCAGGATTCTTGTAAATCTCCTCAGGACCCTCTCCAATGCCAGCACACACTTCCTCAGATACAGGGCCCAAATCTGCTCTCAATATTCCAAATGCAGTCTTTCCAGAGCCTTATGTAGCCTCAGTAGTACATCTCTGTACAAAAATTTTAAAAAAGGTAAGTATACATTTGATGGTATCTCCTGCTATAAGCCCTCAATGCTGAGAGAGGGGAATTGTTGGGGGTTAGGGAGGGTTGCTGGGATGGGGATGGGGATTGCAAAGAGGGTAGTTGTGTAGTAGGCAGCTAGTTTTTGACACTGAGTAACAGACATTAACCAAGTCAGCCTAGAATGATACCACCACCACTTGGGACTGAATTCTCCTCAATAGCATTCATGACTCAATAGCCATGTTGTAGAATAAAAATCTCGCATTGTGTGGCATTATACACCGTCACAGTTGCTTACTCCCATTGGCTGCTTTTGCAGGAACCAATAGTAACGTATACTGTTTCACATCTGACAGTTTATCAAGAAACTTATACATTTTGGATCACTGAAAAAACACTGTTCATTCAAGACCCTTAATGTAATTTAGAGGATGAGGTTTGCTTTTAGGATAAGAGAATATAAATGTAAAAAGAAGCAAAGCTGGTCATGCTCAAAGCACAGTCACCAGAAGCTTCCTCAGGATGCTCCCAGTTCTGAAGTTTTAACACAACAGAAAATAACATGTCAGGATTTGACCAAAATTTGGTTGGGAGATGTGACTCAGAGCTATGTGTACTTAGGTTCAACAGTTATCTTAGGTGGACTCCAATTGAACTTAGCAGGTTATATAAGGTGAAATAAAGTTCACAGTTTTGTTCTGAGCAGACCTGAAAAGCATCAAGAACACATTTCCTTGGAAAACTGCTCCAATTTTTCCCTGAAAGCCATCTCCTCCTCAAAGAGGCTACTTAAAGTGGGTCTGGGGCTCTGACATTCCAAGATGCATTCATAGAATCCCTGCAGTGTGGAAGCAGGCCATTTGGCCCATTGAGTCCACACTGACCCTCCAGAGAGCATCCCACCTCCGTACCCTATCCCTGTAACCCTGCATTTCCCATGGCCAATCCATCCAACCTGCACACCTTTGGAGTGTGGGAGGGAACCAGAGCACCTGGAAGAAACCCCTACAGACATGGAGCAAGTGTGCAAATTCCACACGGACAGTTGCCCAAGGGTGGAATTAAACCCAGGTCCCTGAAACTGTGAGACAGCAATGCTAACCACGGAGCCACCATAATACCCTATTATTTAAGTTTGAATTTAGATAATAATGTTTGGTAGGTTATTCAACCATACATCATTTTCCAGATAATTTTTAAACGTGTTAACTAAGCATCATCACAAACTATTAAAAAGTACTTTACGTATGCTTCTATCACTAAGGCACAGCTATTATATTAGAGTGGCATGTTTTATCTTTAGATTTGAAGTGTTGCTTGAGACTTTAATTCCTGAACAGCACTAACATTGGAACTGCCCTTGACAAGCTGCAAGAGAAGTATAACATGCCTTGTCTCTCCAACTTCCTGTTCTCTCTTGGGGAATGCATTGGTAACTGTTCCTTACCTCTCTGGCACAGTAAGCATTATAAACTCACTGCACCTATTTCATTCCAGTTTTACAGGACTTCAGGTTCAAACTCTAACCCACAGCACCATGAAAGCAAACATTTGCTTACTGACCCTAAATGCAGTCACTCACAGTTTGTAGAAAACTGCAATTACCTGTGGCAGCTTTTAACGTTAATGTGGTTGACCTTTTGCTGAATTCTGTTAAAATAAACCCGTTGTATGTTATAGTTGTTGCAGACAGTGTTAAATGGATTTCCTTGTCCATAAAGCCATGGTTTACAATGCTGAAATAGACGTCAAAATCACTTCCAAGGATTGGCTGAGCATATTTAATGCTGATCTTTAAATCTTTTTCCCGGATGTTGGCAGATCTGATTTTCATTCCGGCTTTGTTGTAGACTTTCCGTTCCTTTGTAGATCCTGTGAAATGGAACACAGTGTTCACCCTATGAGGTAATGTGAGCCGAAGCTGGGTTTGAAGCAGGGGGCAGGAGGTCGGTAGCACAAGATAAAGAGTTTAGTGATAGAAACTGCCCCTCCATAACTGAAACAAGGTGCTTTTCAACATTGTTTAGGGAACAGTGATACTAAGACCTTGTAACTGCAGGGCATGCACTTGTTTGTAACTTGGAAGTCCATTCAGAAACAACAGAGAGTAAATACAGCTAGTCTGTCATCATTGTGACACTGTTTAACACACAATTCCAGTTCTGAAGAAAGATCAGTGGACTTGAAACATTAACTCTGTTTTCTCTCCACAGATGCTGCCAGACCTGTTGAGTTTCTCCAGCAATTTCTGTTTTTATTTCAGATTTCAGCATTGCAGTTCTTTGTGTTATTTTTTCATGCCATTTACCAACTCATTAAGCCAACTCTTGAATTCATCTTGGTCTAATTGGCTTACAAATTAATGCCACTGGATACCATAATTACTTCCATATTACTCCGCTTCTGTCATTTTGTGTATTCACTACTGTTTTGAGTATGTACAAGACCAATGGTACAGCAACTACACACCCAAAATGATTGATGATGTTAAAGTTAGCATTAAAACATAGATTTATAAAAATTGAGAGAAGATACTCACTCTATCAAGATTAGCACAATTTTTCCAGTTGAGCCCTCCCACTCTCAGTTTTCAGACAATAATATTACACAGGGAATGGCATCCATTAAAATAGTCATCTGATTTGGTGAAGCAACTTATACTTATGTAGCAAAATTGACACAGTAAAGCATCTCAAGCTGCTACACAAAAGAAAAACCAATAAAAAACATCTTTGACAAAGTAGATATCTGAATAGACTAGGTAAAGCCTGGTAAAAGCACTGATTAAGGCTGAGGTAGTGGAAAACATGGCAGTCAACTGTGGAACATTTAAAATCTTCGATATGCAAATAGCCAGAATCGGACGACCATAAAGATCTTGAAGTATCACAGGGCTGGAGGAAGCTATCACAATTTGGAAGTTGGCTTGGAAAACAACAATGAGGATTTTAGAATTGAGTGGTGTTACATCAGGACCCAGAGTAAGTCAATCTGCTCAGAGGCGCTGGGTTAATGCGCTTGGAGTAATTGAAAGTATCGGCAGCAGAGTTTTGGAAGAGTACAAATTTACAAAGATAGGCGGGATGAATTCAATTGAGGAAGAATGATTGGATTGACAGCTCATCAGTTGTGTGTATTTGTTGATTCTTCACACAGTAACAAAGGAGCCAATTTTAACCTAAGCAACCTGTTTGGAAACTGATGGGATTGAGTTCAATTTTGGTTTTCATCCCCATTTGATTTATACCTCATCGCCATCACTTCAGTGTAATATTCATGTAGATGCCAGCTTCCACCCAATCTTACGTGCTTCCAACCTTGCATTCAAATTAGTCCAATATTTTTCTCATCTAACATCCCTATTACTAGTATGAGTAGTAAAAATCCCCTACCCTCTGGGTATTTGTAATCATGTGTTAAGTCCTCTCGTTCATCTGTGTAGGCACTTTTTGTGATGATCTGTTTTCCCACTTGGTGGTGTTTGACTCCCAGCTCTTGTTTTGATCCATCTTTATTTACCAGCCAGTAAACCACATCTGCATTGACCTCAGCGAAGATGAACACAGCATCATATTTCACATCCACATGACCTTCCTTTATTGCTTTGACAGGGCAAGGACCACAGCAGTAAATGCCTGAAAGGACAAAGACACCACTATAGACATTGGAGGAATGCTTTCTTGGGCCATTTTGTAACATTGATCCTGCTCCTGCTCCTCTCCTGAGAATGGCAACTGGTGCTGAGGTGAGCTTTCCACTACATCCGCCAAGCAGCAATTCTTCATGGTTGGGCCTAGACTGAGAGTTTCAATTAAACCCAAAAGTGTTCACACCCAAATTCCACAGCAGTATTTTCAACAGCTTTACTATAGAGGGGAAGAATGGGGACTCATGCTGAGCCCCTGAACTACTGAGTGAGAGTGAGTGGGACTTTAATTAGAACAAGCACAGTGACCAGCTTGGAGATAAAGAAAGGCCAATTGGTGAGAGATACTGGAGACCTGCTAATGACCACTATCTTATACCCAGTGCATATCTCCAGGAGGGTAGAGAAAACAGGCAATAAAACCCTAAACTATAAACATCGCTACATCAAGTGTTGAACATGAAATGAAACTTTCCAAACAACTTCAAGCAGTTGAATCATTGCTGTAGCCATGTAACAATTTAACAGAAACGTATAAAATAATGCAAATGTTTGAGACGGTAAATAGTGAAAGACTGATTGTGGGCAAGAAAGGGCATGAATGCAGTAAGTATACCAACACAAAAGAAGTCTACTCATTACAATATGGGGTTTATGACACCAGGGCCATTATGCAAAAGCAACTGTACACTCGAGAGGAAATTAGATAAACATTTAAGAAAAATACTTAAAAGCACAAAAAAGCAGTGAAGTGTGATGTAGTTGTAAAATAGGGTCAACATGACAGCCTCTCTGCCAAAATTTCAAGATTCTGTAATCCTAACCACAATATCTTCTATCTAGGAGAACAAAAAAAGCATATGCATTGCAACACCACCAACCCCGTAAATTCCTATTCAAGTCCCACACAATCCTGACTGAAAATATATCCAGCATTTGGTCAAAATCCTGGAACACCTTCCTTAGCATCACATGGACAGCAGTGATTCACGAAGGTAACTCATCACCACCTTCTCACAGGCAAGTAGGAATGGGCAATAAATGCTAACTGTGCTGCACTGCACGCTTATCACTGTTAACACACTGAGGCACTTTCCACTACAGTGAAATCATTACTATAAGCTGCATATGGAGGCCACATTGATTTTAGGTCAAGGCATCTCAAATATAGTTGTAACATGAACATATTGTTATTTAGGCCCCTTAGTTGACCAATATCCTTCACTGCTCTGGAACCTGAGAGTGTCTGGAGAAATAAACATTACAGGATTTCAATTCCCGAGTGATCTGCAGGGAGCATTGTTAAGAAAGCACACATGCTGGAGGAACGAAGGGGCACAGGATCAGTCTTGCTCGGATTCCTGTCGCCTGATGACTCTCATTCTCTGGGATTACTTTTGGAAAAATGACTAATGGGCAAGGACTGAATAGTCTCTGTGGACCTACCCTGGCACAGGTCAGAGTTTTTAGCAGATGGGGGGTAGAAAATTGGGTAAGTACTTAAAGTTTTAAGACTCATCAAACTGCAATATGGAATGTAATGTGGATCCACCAGATTGATATGAAGATTGAACAGAACAATTATGAGGACAGGGTGCATAAACTTGGCTTTCTTTCCTTTCAGTACAGAATGTAAAGAAGCAATTAAATTGAGGAACTGAAGACAGTTATGGGATTTGATGGGATTGATAGAGAAAAATTATTTCCTCTGGTGGGAGAATCTAGAAAAAAGGAAGAATTGCTGAAAAGGAAATCATGTTGCTAAGTTTTTCGTGTTACACTCATCTGGACACATACAAGAGTGCCAAATTTCACACAATCATAATTTATATCACAGAATAAAACAGTGATGATAGGTCAACATAATGTTGCCATGCAGAAGACAGCAGGGAAATATAGGCTTCCCAAGCTCCCAAGTGTTTCAATAAAAATGCAAGGCTTGAACATATTCTTTCTGCTTACAGAGAACAGGTCCCTATGTGTGAATATATCTTATTTCCAGAAACTGAAATTAAGCCACATTACCAGCAATACTGATTATCTTAAATTGGTTGTAAGGATAACAATCAGAGTGCAGAGGTGGTAATCCCTTTGAGATAACACAGTGTGGAGGTGGAGGAACACAGCAGGCCAGGCAGCATCAGAGGAGCAGGAAAGCTGACGTTTCGGGTCGGGACCCTGGGCTCAACTTTCCTGCTCCTCTGATGCTGCCTGGCCTGATGTGTTCCTCCAGCTCCACACTGTGTTATCTCTGACTCCAGCATTGGCAGTTCTTACTATCTCTGAGTGAGGTAGTCCCTTGGAGTTGACTTGCCAACTAATCAGTACTCTTGTCTCTGGTGTAAATTGTTGTGAAACATTGAATTTTGGCTTTCTTGCATTCGTCCTGACAAGTTCAAGCTGAAAATCTTTCCTTCCAACAATGGTCATGTTTTGTGCTACCAAACAACTTTAAAATTAGAGCTAAGCAATTTGGGCTAATGTCAAGAAGTGCTTCTTCAAACTAAAGATCGTAGCAAACTGGAACTCTTCAAAAACTGTTGAGGCAAGGAGTGAATTGAAAATTTCAAGACTGAGATTGCTTGATTTTGTTAGAAATTATAGTAAAGGTTTATGGAACCAAAACAGAGAGGTAAGATAGAGGTCAGTCGTGGTCCAATTGGATGGCAAATGTAGTTCAAGAAACTGAGTGGATCATTTCTGTCCCAATATTTTTAATAATTTGAGCATTAGGGAATGGAGGCAATATGGATCCATGTGTGGGTTGAGGAACAGTGAAGCATAATGAGGCAAGGTGATTTTGTTTTTAAATCTCATTCAGAGCCAAATAGATATGATGGCTCTCAGTCTACCTTGGTAAAGCAATCTTCTTCTGACCCTCTCACAGCCAAATACAAACTGATGTGGATTCAACCTGGACACCATTAACTACATATAATATATACATATAACAGAATATATTTATTTATTTATTGACAGTTCAGTTCCAACATTACCGTCACTCCGTTCTTGTGGAGTAGGATCCAAGACTTGCCATCCGTCATAGCCAGGGGGAAGGTCAGGACGGGTCATCCATACTTCCAGCCAGCAATGGTAGTTCCTGTGTGAACCACGTAGTAATGTGAAACAATTACAATAGAAGTACTCATCCTGATTCACTGGACCTACTGCAATGAGAATGGAGATGTGCTGGGAGTCATGTGCTGTCAAAATATTAACACTTGACCACTTGACACATCAAACAAGGAATGGTGTTGACAACGGCATTGAAACTCAATGCCTCTCTCTGATGCTAAAAGCAGAGAAGATTTCATACACTATGCCCATTAGGGTTAAGCAAACTTGCTTTGCCTATTGGATGCCCACGAATTGCTCCTTTAAGAGTATGGAGTAGTTGATAGACTAGAAATTGTGACAGAACAAGCAAAGGAAGAGGAAAAAGGTAATTGGGAATTAAGTAAAAGTTATCCAAAATTTTTAAAAAAGCCCAAATGGCACAATTCTACAGACAGTTGCATTAAATTTATGATCTCTGCGAATTGTCACACAGCCATGGATATATATATTGCCCATGAACAGGCACTGAAAGGGAATACCTACCATACCATATCTTTCCTTTTAGAAGGAATGCGCGAATAATCTTCACTGCTATAATACTGATCCACTTTGAGATTGCCATCTGTGTCATGAGCAGATGAATAGTTTGTAACACAACGACTCGGGATTCCCAAGCATCTGAGAACTGGAAAACCAGATGTGAGTACAGTGAGAAATGCATCCATTTCCGACTAGCATTTCAAGGCACTGCCAAATCTGTAGGTACTTATCAGACTTTCTCTATTAGTCACTCACTAGAGCCATTGCCAGTCAACAACTCAATTATAAAATTTAGGGAATGTTTGATCCCCAGTCTGATCATTAGTTGGTGATTTCAGCTGAGGATGCTATAGGTTTGTCACAACAAGTGTGTAATAAGGAAGGGAAGAAATAAGCCAAGAGTGTGACTCTATGTCAATATTCCTGCGCAGAAATTTACATTGGGTGGGGGCTTGTCTGCCCCATGCCATAATGCACTGTGGGCATGCTAACATAGTGCCCATCAGTGACAGGAAGTCCCACCTTCTGGAGATACAGCCAATTTAATTGCCTAAACAGTGGCAGAGCTCCATAGTGGTCACTGCTGAGACTACAAGTAAATCCATAACTGATTAGTCAGGCTCCCAACACAAGTAGCTTGGGGGTTTACAGCATTGAGGGTTTTGCTGCCTTAATGAGGATCCTGCAGACATGGATTTAAAAGTCTGTCCAAGTAGGAAGGAAGGAGGCTACTATCTTCTGGGGCTGTGCCTCCAGAGGACAAGTGGAACCCTCTAAAGATAAGACTCCAGTTCCCCTCAATCCATTTTAAAAACTTTTATAAAAGCGAGCTGCCCATTCGCCTGCCCATCCCATTTGTATTATGAGCATTGAAACATTAGGGTCAATTGAGCCTTTTAAGGAATGCTCAATTGACCCTTAATTGCAGATTAACAGTGCACCCTTTCCAGCCCCTTATTATATTGGTGAGTTTAGAGTGGGTGGCAAGGTGGGTTGGGTATCTATGAAGCATTTTTCAGAGAGAGGAGCATCCAAGGCTGCTTCACAAAGAGGTGTGGAAACTTAGCAGGATCTTACCTGTGCAAGCTACAGCAGCAAAGACCCAGCATTGTCCATATCGCACTTTCTCAGCCCCGGAACTGCTCCATAGGCGCAAAATTGGGAGACTCCCAGTCCATCGGGTTGGGGCAATCCCATCAGCATAATTACCATCCCACCTTCCCAAAAGCACACCTTTATCATCATTTGCATTCACCTTGGAGGAGAAAATAAAATAACTAGCCTTCTGTTCAGGAATAAATGAACAAATATGCACACAATCTCATGACAAAGAAAGGGTCTCTGGATGAAGAAGGGGCTTTATTAAGTTGATTTAATATACAAATCATTCTGATATTGAGGTAGCTTTAATAAAAACAAACCAGTTGTAGACTTCATTTTATATTTTGCGTACTTTAAGAATAATGCAGTGCATTTTATCCATTAACAAGAAAATGTTAAACTTGCTTGCCCAGTACTAGGTACTATCTGAGGCCATCTTCTGATGTCTCCAGCCAGTCTCAGATTGTGTACAGAGTGAAATAAATGCCAAATATTAGCCAGGCCATTTGGAATCATTAAAAAGAACCTTTTATACTTAAGGTGCTTGGATTCCCTCTTTCCAAAAAATTCACGTGGTGATTGACAAATAGGAATAGGTTGTAAATTCCAGCATTGAATAAAACAATCAGTTCCTTATTTACAGCTGATCTTGCACATAGTTGACTGGCTATCTGGCTCATCATTGATACAAATAAGAGACAAACAAATCTCTGTGCATTATTTTTAATGAGTTTTTTCCTCTGTACTTTAAATTCAATTTAGTAAATAAGGTTAAAATGAGTACACATTTTACAGGAAGCAATCAGGTCAAAATAACACAGCCAAACTATGCTTCCATTAGATACCAAAACAAGAATTAATAGTTCACAATGATCCTGTGGTACTGAATGGTGAGCCTACAATGATAATATTACAAGACAGATGCATCTCAGCCATGACACTAGGTGGTGACCATAGTGACAAGATACATCACAACGGGGATAAAAGGAAAAGTCTCATTCCAGAACATGATGGCCAGTGTCTAGGATTCAGTTAGTTTTCAATATTGAATTATTTTATTTGTTTAAGCAAGCTCTGCTTGATTGTAGTTATTTGTTATACAGTTTCTGAAAGGCAGCTGCAAGGCCCAGGCCAAAAGTAAGATCACGGGTTTATGGTTAACTTAGGCTAATAAGTGTAGAACTGTTTTAAGGTAAAATGTGTCTACAGCTCTGTTTTAAAATGGCTTAAGTTTGGTAACTTTGAGTATGTATATATTTTAGTTATACATGGTTTGCTTTTGAGTTTTAAATTTGTTTTAGGTATGAACAGTTATTGAGTTAAAAGTGTTGTTAAGTTTGGGAATTTTTAGATGCATTCGTTGGAACATCTGGGATGATGTTAACTAATTGGAAGCAGGGGAGGGTCACACTACATAAGCTAAGAAATTCATACATTTCTCTACTGGTGCCATGTTACCCCTGTAAAGACTTGCAAAGTTGGCAAGCTATGAGAGGTAAGCTGTTACTAAACAGCTGATCTTATAACATGATTAGCATGTCAAAGAATAAATCAGGAGATAGCAGGAAGTGATATCAGTAAGATGACCATTAAAGATCAGTACTGAATTGGGCATGCAATGTAGCATTTAGCGAATCGGAGACTGATTATGCGCTGTTCATACATTGGCAATCCAATTAGAGTTTACGCTGTCTCTGATCACGCACAGTGAATAGCAAAGGTTAGTAGGTGGTTATCCTTAAGGGTTTGGTGCAGAAGCAAAGAAGACAGAATGCAGAAGGAGAACTTCAACAAACAACAGATAACACGAGGCATGTGCCCAGTCAACCAGTGTCACGCTCTGGTGTCCTGAAGTGGACCAACTGAAAAAAACGCAGATTTACTAAGGGTAATTTCTTGCGTATTTCTTATGATGAGCTTAATAATGACTGTGGAACCTGTGAAAACATATATGCACCTGGAAAGGGTCTTGTAATTAATCAGGATTGGCTTCCAGTTGGCTCAGCCAAACAAGTTCAGTGTCAATTCTTTCAAGATATGCAAATAGGAAATAATGTGAGTGAGAGAGAACTTGGTATCTCTTCCATCACTACCCATAGCTGCCCGCTACAACATGCATCTAAAAGTGTACAGTGTCATAGCTATATTGACTCTGTGTGTGTGTGTGAGAGTACGTGTGTGTGTGTGTACTTGTGTGTGAGAGAGAGAGAGAGTGTGTGTGTGTGTGTGTGTGTGTGTGTGTGTGTGTGTATGTGTGTG